CTAGTGCCACTTTATTTTGAATGAATAAAATAGTACAATTGGCAAGAGACTGTGTGTAAGGAATTGTGAGTGTGAGAGGTTGAGAGTTCGAATCTCACCTTCTTCACTTTTTGTCTTTTCTTTTATTTTTATTATAACTTTTATATTTTCATAAAAAAAATAACAAAAATAGTTTTTTTATTATTATTTTCGTATTTTATTTAAATTATTTTTTTAAAAATATTATTTTTTTCATTTTTTTCCATATTATTCATAAAAACATCCAAAAATCATAAAATTAATAATATTAGAAAAGATTTTGTTCATTTTATAGTATTTTTAGTGTTTAGTAAATAATTAGGGTTTTTAGTTTGTTTTAATTTAAGTTGGACTTTAAAGTGGGCATTAGGTTAAAAGTTAACCCTAATTTGATACATATATAAACATAAGTGGTATTTGAAAGGGGGGAAAGGGGACAAAAGAAAATACGGCGGCCGTTCTCACAACTTATCAGAAGAAAGGAGGAACCCACGAACCCAGAAGGAGAAGAAAGGGACGGTTCTTCGAAGAAGAAGACAGAGCTTCCTTCGTTAATCATCATCATCACGACTCAGAGAAGCTCAAACTCTCATCATTGTCCTCCTTCCGGAACTGCTTCAAATCCCATCTCAAGAATTTGTCGCCGTTACCGTAAGCTTTTTCTTCCTTTGATTACGACACTTTACGATTATTGCATGTTTTTTTTTTGTAGATGGTAGATGAATAAGGAGAAGGACGAGACATGCAAAGGAAAAAGAAGAGAAAAAGCTCCTAAACAGCAACAATGGTCGTCGCAGCCGCAGTGGAGAAGCTCCTCCCTTTTTATTCATTGTTTTAACTTTTTTATTTTTATGTTTATTTCTTTTAATTATTATTGTTTTATCTTTTATATATTTTAGTGTACTAAAAATTTGTAGAGTTTTTTTCTTTTCTTTCCTAACCTTTTAAATTTAGTTAATATTAAAATGAATTTTCTTAATTAAAACTCCTCTTGAACCAAAATTCCTTTTTTAGAGGTTAGTGCATTATTTTTAAATTAAACCATTTTTCTTAATCAAAACACTTTTCTTAACTAATCATAAAATTTAAAACAGTTTTCCTAATTAAAACATAAAAATAAAACAAACTTTTCTTAAATAAATTAAAAACTTTTTAAAATAAGAACTAAATTCTTTATAAATTAAAAACTGTTTTTTTAAATAAATTGAAAACTTTTCGTAAAAATAAGCATTAAAATATTTTATTTAAATCAAAATTAAATCCCTTTTTAAAACTAATATTAAATTTCTTTTTTAAAAAAACTTAAATCAAGATTTTTTTTATATTAAAAACAATAAATAAAATTTTCAAATGGGCATCTTTTTCTTCGCTGTCTCATTATTCACTTTATTTCTGTCTAACCCTATTAACATTCTCCGTTTTGTTTTTTTAGCTGATTACGGTTAATTTCATTTATCATTAGTTAAATATTTCATTATCATGTTTGTATTTGTTTCCATGGATGTAAATTACGCGAGGTCGTGGTCGCGATTTATTTGTTTGTTGGGATTTGTAATTTACGCGAGTGATCGTCGCGCCGCTTTCTTTACTTTCTGCACTTTATCTCTGCCATATAATATTTTGCCATGTTTGCATGTTTTACCGTTAATCACCTTCCGAAGGAATTAGGTCTAGCCGTTTGACCGCCGAGTCAATAACCCTAACCTTTGACCGTTTCAAAACCCTAATAGCCTAGGTGCCCCGCCGTGGACAAAAACGCCCTTTACCCTAGCTTTTAGGTCAAAGAGCCGCCGTGCTCTGTTTAAGGTTTCCCGTCGTGGAATCCCTAATTTCAACCCTAATTCAATTAACAATTTCAACATAGAAATAGGAGTTTCAAAACTCCACGTAAGCGTGTCCTTAAGATACATTTACTCCCTTTTGAAACCTTGACCACAGTCAAGACGTTTCTAACCTCCCTTTCGAGGGGAACTACAATTACTCTGATTCCATTCCCGTCAGGATATGTAGGCATAAGATGCGATGTCTTGCCGAGTAAACTTAGGACTAACCCTTAGGTCTTGTAGGTCACTTTATCCCTTAGTTCAGTGTATATCCCAAACAGATAATAAAATAAAATAAAAAGCATACAATAAACAAAAGGGTCCTGTAGAGTACTACAGAAGTTTAGGATGCTAGTACCTTCCCTAAATTTAACCAACCCCTTACCTAGGTCTCTCCCCGCGTTGCGTTCACAATGCAAAAATAGGTTTTCCCTTTTTGACCTTTTCCTTCGGATAAATCAAAAAGCGGGTGTGAATTGAATTGTGATTCAAACTAATTAATAGTTTGATATCCTATTTCTACCGCAACAACATGTTTGAAATGATTCAATGTTTAGATGTTTCCGCTTTTAATTCTAAATGTTGAGATGTGGGTGTAAGGACTGAGTTCCTAAGATGCAAGTTATCCACTGTTGCATATCTTTAAATGAGCAGGTGTTGTATGTTTTAATTTCATGTATAATGCGACATGCCTCTTTTATACCATATTTTAATTATACTCTGATGAAATTTTTAATATGTGCCTAAATGACTTATTTGTTTATTTGGGGGTATAGAAAGGGGGTGTTACACTCTCACCCCTTTAACAAGTTGAAATCTTGAAATTTTAGGACTCTCTTCCACCAAATTTCTAAAAAATCTCTTTACTTTTCATGGGCCATTTTTCTTTCAATCTCTTGTCCTTCTCATTAAAGCTATCTTGCAAAGTAATCTATGCATTTTCCTTATCATTACTCCTCTTCTTCATCCTTTCCTCAAGAGCCTCAAGAGAGCTTTTCAACTCCTCTTTGCTCATCGTCACAAGATCCTTCGATTCCTCAATCTCTACAACCATGTTATCAAATCTTGGTGTTAATGAACACAAGATTTTCGTGACAACATACTGCTCTATAACTTTTTCTCCCCGTGCCTTCACTTGATTCACCAACCGAGTAATTCTCGTTGTGAAATTGTTGATTGTCTTCTTTTCTTCCATTTGAATTAATTCAAGTTAACACTTGTGAGTTTGTAACCTTACCACATTTTCCTTGTCAGCCCATGTGTTTGCCTTCTCTAAGATCTCCCACGCTTGCTTTGACGATTCACAATCACCAAAATTCTCAAAGTTTTCACCATCCACACATTGATGGATAAAAAATAGTGCCTTGAAATCTTTCTTTTTTTATCAACCTTATGTGTTACTCGTTGTGCATCTATTGCACCTTCGACAAGAGGATTCACCCCGTTCTTGATCACTTCAAGAACATCTTGGTAGTCAAACAACACTTTCATTTGCTTGCACTATTTTTCGTTATTCTTCGTATCAAGTATAGGTGAGTTTGAAGATATTCTTTCATTTAGGTGTTTGTGGATCAGAACCAGACTCTTGATGAAAAATGTTGGAACTTGGAACCACAAGATTTGTGAATGATGGAGAAAATTAAAGTGCAGAGAGGGAGAGAGAAAATTGAGTGTGTGTGTGTGTGTGTGTGTGTGTGTGTGTGTGTGTGTGAGAGAGAGAGAGAGAGAGAGAGAGAGAGAGAGAGAGAGAGAGAGAGAGATAGAGAGAGAGAGAGAGAGATTTTCATTAGCTATTGATGAGGATGCCTCCAAGTCATTTATGCAAACAATACAAAAGTGATTGGGACACAACTCACACAATTACATAACTGAAAAACAGAAAATTCCAGGCATGTTATCGATTACATATGCTACAAAAATTAAATCATTTTCGGTGGTAACCGGTTACGTGTAGACGTTAACGGGTTACATCCACAAAGTTTTGCCTGTTTCTTCAGCTCATAAGTAACTTTGGTCTTGTTGTAACTAGTTACACCCCCGTGTTAACTGGTTACAACACTTGAATTACCAAAAATACTTTTAACATATATAACTATTTTGATAAACTCGTGATTGTGATTTGGAGAATTAAGATGCAAATGAAGATTAGGATTCGAAATTGAAATAACAACGAGTAATAAAAAGATGAACAATATTTTAATTTTTTAGGAATAAGGCTTAGATTTCTAAGAGTTGTGTTGTACAACAGAGAGAGACTCTAAAATTAAGATTCTAGAATAATAATTACCCGATCCTTGGTCCTATTTGCAATACTGCTTACCATTTTTTTTGTTAAATGGGCCGCCGGTTTTAAAATAACATTTTGGGTTGGATTTTAAATTTTGGATTAATTTAAATAGTATTTTAGTTCATGATTTTTTTTATTAAAACCTCTACATTAAACCCTCCATGTAAGTGGCTTTGATACTGAAAATGCAAAGCGTCATTTGTTTGTCCTTAAAAAAAACCACAAATAATTTTAGTGAAGAACTCAACACCAAAGTATCTCCCTCAACACAAAGAGATTTGCCTCTAACTACCTTTATCTAACTGCATCGATTTTTGAACCAACCCAATGCTTCTACCATCGAACTTAGACTAGTTCACTCTAAGTTTAATCTCTTCCATAAAAACCTTATCTACATGCACCTCTAGCAACCTTAGGTTTGAAACATCCTTGAATCTTACAAACCCCAAATGGTTACCTCTTCTGAACTAATTGAACAAATCTCCAACAAGTATGAAGCGTGAGAAAACCTGTCGCATATCCCATTCGGACATCGAGAAAAGGAAATTTAAAAAAAAAAAGGTTAAATATATGTTACCCCTGCCATTATAGCAAGTTTTAGTTTTATCCCCTTTAAGATTTTTTTTTTTGGTTCCCCCCTTACCAAATTTAGATTTCATCATGCAACACCCTTTTGTCACTATTTCACTGACTATGTAATTGATTCCTCCTAGTTGGCATCTGATGGCCTGCTGAATATACCATAAATGCCACGTTGAATGTGAGTAGACAATGAACTCATAAATTTATTCATTTCCTATTTAGCCCCCGTGAAAAATTAGGGCTCGAAATTGGGAATTTCCACAAAAATAGCAACCTGCAAAAACAAATACATGGTCGGAGAAGACGAGGTCAAGACGCATACAAAACGTCACAGGTTAGTTTAGTTTACTATTGCTCTTACTAGTCTCACAATGATGTTTGTTTTAAAGTTGATGTTATCTTCGTTTTCAGAACATGCAAATGTTTAACGTTGTCTTTCACCATGGAGGGGAGTTTATAAAGTTGATTAAAGGTGAAACGATATACAGGGGTGGTGTTTCAACCATAGTGTATGGGCAAGTCATTGATAAATGGTCAATGCTTAACATTGGTAATTTGGTTAATGGGTGGGGTTACATAGAAGGGACATACTGAACTTGGACCAAAATCCTTGACATAGATGAAATTGTTTTCTAGATTAAGAATAACAATGATGCTTATGATTTTGCTGCATATGCTTGTGCCACCAAGTAGATGGGGAAATGTTTATGGAACATGATGTCAATGATATATAAGTCACATTTAAGAGTCCTAGGTGTGTGAATGAAATGGTAGAGTTAGATGGAAGTGATGAAGATGGAGTTGGAGGGTTGAATGACGATGAGGATGAAAGAACCACTACACTTACAAATGGATTTGATGGGATTGATGTCTCTCTACCCATTCGCGAGGGTCCAATAATAGCTGGATTGTTAACTGGTTCCAATAAGAAGAAATGGGAAGATGATGGATATGTTAGTGATGAGTTAGACAACTCTGATCCAAATTATTCTGAAGATGATAATGGGCCTAAGTTTGAGAAGTTTAAGAAAGACCAACTTAATAAGAATTTTAAGTTTAAGTGGGGTATGCAATGCAATTCCCTATATGACTTTTGAGAGGAAATTAGTGACTGGTCAATTTTAAATGGTAGGGAAATTACTTTTTTTTAAAATGAAAGTTATAAGGTAAGGGTAGAATGCAGGGTTAAATATGGATTTTTAATGTTATGCTCTAAAGTGGATCATAAGCACACTTATGTCATTAAGACTATAAAAGACAACCACACATGTGCTAGAGTTTTGGATAATAGATTTGTTTCATCAAGGTGGGTGGCCAAGGCTGTTGTGAAGAAAATACAAACATTTGAGACATTTAGGATTTGTGATATTATTCAAGACATGAGACAAAATTACTCTGTGGAAATTACTGTGGCTAGGGCATACAAGGAAAATCTGATAGCAAAGAAGATAATTGAGGGAGATACAGACATACAACATACAAACTTATGGAGATATGATGTAGAGTTGAAAAGGGTAAATTCTGGGAATACTTTGAAGATCAACCCTATAAATTCAACCAAGATTTGGATCTTTTTACTTTTGTTTTGATAGGTGCAAAAAAGGATTCATAAATGGATGCAGACCATTTGTTGGGATTGATGAATGTCATTTGAAGACCAAATATGGGAGTCAACTTTTAATAGTTGTAGGTAGGGACCCCAATGACCAATATTTTTCATTGGTCTTTGGTGTTGTGAAAACTAAAACAAAATATAGCTGGAGGTGGTTTCTACCGTTGTTAATGAAAGATGTTGGACAAGACAATAAATATGTCTTTATTTCAGATAAGCAAAAGGTGTGTTAAAAGTTGTGTCATTTTGTCATTTGGTTTTCATATTTCAAATGTTAGATGTTTTAAAAGTTATGTCATTTTCAAGACAGTCAAATTTGATATTTCAATCTTCTACCATCCTCTTCACATTGGTTTTTACGAGTGGCAATTTTGTCAAATAACGATTTTTACAGGTGGTTTCATCCGGGTAACATCACAAATTGAAAAAAAATATCAAAATCAAAAACGAAAAAACACCAATCAACCAAAAGAGAACTCATACATTTGAAATGAGAAACAACGAAAAAATTAACTAAAATCAAACAATACAATAACTTTTGTTCTGAACATACGTAAATATATTACTCTTTTTTTAAGCTAGATCCAGAATGCATGTTGTCTTTAAAGAAGATCAGAGTAAAAGAACAAAATAATAGTGTATTTCTTCTTGTCAATTGTGGTATACTCTATAGAGATGTTAATTGGGCATAAAAATGGTGGAAGAAAAAACTCCAATTGTGGTTTTTGAGAAGTATGAAGTGTTACGTATGGAAAGCAATGTAAGTGAAAGACAGAAGAAAATGAATAGAGTATAGGAATAAAAAAGTAAAACTAAATCATAAAGGACACGTCAACATCATCATAATTTTAAAAGAAATTAAATTAAATAACACTATTCATATTAGAGTATACCTTCGGTCGGTTATGGGTTTCATTGGATCAAAGATACCCATTGAAACTCGAATTTTTTAATAGTTTTACCCAGCAGTGCCCGTCTGTTTCAACAAATTACAGATCAGACATAACAGTTCTCAATCTCAGGCGGTCCCAGATTTTTGTCTATCCCTGAGAGGGTGTGCAAAATAACCAATAACCATAAATCAAATTCCTATTCAAATTAATCCAAATTTTAAAATTCAAACCAAATTTATATTTTAAATTTGGTGGCTCATTTATCAAATTGGAAAAAAAAACGGTAACCATTTGTTCCAAATGAGATTCGGTAATCATTTTTTAATGAATAGTTTGGAAAAATCAAAATCAACACAAATTTCAGAAATTCTAATTCTCAAAATCCAAATTTAAAATAACCATAATTCTCAAAATCCAAATTTAAAATAACCATTATCTTTACCGAATGACACCAAATGAATAGTTTGGCTTAATCAATTGAAACCTTTTTAATAGATTAATCAGAGACTATAAATAGATAATTTGGCTTCTTTTCGCTCTCACATTATTCTATTGCATTCTCTTCTTTGTAATATTTCCTTTATTTTTGTTATATGCTACCGTCATCTTTACCAAATGGCACCAAAGAGGGTTCACAATTTCAGAAACCGAATTGTGAAAGTTGAAAAATGTTTTTGGGCCATGGACTATGGTTTATTAAGATTCTTTTTAACCAAAGTTTTATTAAATGTCTTTTTCAAATTAGACTTATGTTATGAGTCTAAAAAAAATAAAAAATTGATTTTGAGAGAAACCAGTTTAAAATTAGTTTTTAAAAAAAATGTTTTTTTTTTTAAAACCGGTTTGAAACCGAATCCAATCCACTTGTAAACTGGTTTTAAAAAAATAAACCAATTTTATATAAATGATTTTAAGATCCAAACCAAACCATATATGTGATTTGATTTGGTTTGGTTTACAAATCATGCACACCTCTAATCCCTAAGTCAACTTTATAGCAATAAAACTTAATGATTGAAAGACTCAAAAAATTCCAACAAAAAAATGTCAGATTTAAGGATGAGGGACAAACAAACATATTTTGCACTACAGAAAAACCAACATATTTAACTAAACCCAGAAGTTTATCCATACTTTCACCATCATGTGGATGCCATGCACTGGACATGATTACCTGCAAAAGTAAAATAAACATCAAGGTATAATCTACAGGAACGATATCACTGAAAAATAGATCAAAAACTTGCATTTGATTACTAGCATGAATTGCATTGCAGAAATTCAAGACGGATGGATACAAGTAACCTTGGCCAATTAAGTAGGTCGGAAAATTATGAAACTAGTACAAGTAAACTGACAAATCATCTTACCTAAATAAATTCAAATTACAAGCAAATTTTGCCAAATTCATCAACCTTTGCCGATTCTTAAATCGTCGGTAGTGGATATGATAATATTTTATGCAAGTCTAAGTGAACTTCACCATGTCAAACAAAAACACATTCATTCTGAAAAACTGCACAGCTGAAGTGACACCAATTGTAGAAAACCATCCACTAAAAACATTTCATTACCTATTATTCTCGTCTTTTTCTCAACAACAAAATAAAAACTATGAATGTTGAAATGTGAAGTACTACTTCATTTAAACAAACCTAAAGACTCTTGCATGTCTATTCTAAACATGCGAAAATCAATGAGACTGGTATAATAGTATTTTTGTTGTCCTTTTTTTCTATGTGAGTACAATAATGGTGAACACTAACAATGTGGTTTGTGAACCAATGTTCCTTACGTTGACCATAAGTCTAAATATCAGAAGATGAAAGATCCATATGAAAATACGCAGTCCTTGGTCCTCTAGCCCCTAGTTGGGTGTGTTCAACAATCTTCTATTGCATTGGGCCTTACCTTTTTTTCCAATGGATTATTAGCTTTGCTATCGCTTTGTAGATAACATGGCCATTCACAAAAAACACAAGGCTTTGGATAAGAACTAGAGGCAACCGGCGAACAAAGGATGCCTTTGGGGCATACCAGAAGACAGCGAAGGAGGGCTTGAAGACGACCTAGGAAGATTTGAAGACTAAACATGCAAAGCAGAAGAATGAAGTTCCTTTGCTCAATGACGGCAAAGAATCTATGAAGAAAAAGTTTGTTGAGGCCAAGAGACGGGAAAAAACGGTTACTTGACGGAACGACGCTTTTGAGAGGGCATTTGATGTGGAGAAAATTGGCCGTATTGATGATGAAATTGTCACAGGAATTTTTTTGCTAAAGGTGTTGAACAATGTGTCTTTCTTAATCCTAGAGTTCTTTTGATCGTTGAAGAGGCTAGCATTGACAAGTCAATAACTGATGGGTAATTGTTTTTAATCTATCAATTTGTTTTTGGACCGCAAAAGAAATACACAGAAGGCATATAATTACCATAACGAGTGTGAATATTAGTGTGAATATTAGTAGTTTGTTGTGCACATAAGTAACAAGATCCTAAACATGATGCATGCACAATAGTAGAGAAACATATAATTACCATAACGAGTGTCAATATTAGTAGTTTTTAATGGAGCAGGACTTGACAATGGGTGGTCCAAGTGAAGTCATTCTGTCCCAGACTTCGGCTTGAAAAGTGGTAGCAGGCTCCATAGAATCTCTAGGTTTGGCTATAAAGGTAATATAACGAGTAACAAGAGGAATATGCCGCCCGGTTACCTTCACAATGTCTTCAAAAACATACAGTAAACCCAAACCCTAGTTAAGAAAAAACAAAACAAAAATTAGGGTTGATGAAAGAATAAGCATCCATGAAAGAATAAGAATTAAATTAAAAACCTGATTGTGTTGATTATAGTAATCCAAAGCAAGATTGGAGAGTTGAATGAAATGCGGTCGATCATTTTCCGTAAGGGGAATTGGTCTTGGAAAGTTATTGTCACATACATTTGCCAGAGGTGGAATAGGGATAGCATCAAAGGGACTTAGATGACGAGATCTATCCAAATACTCAGCCACTGCTTTTTTACTATCCTCTTCTTTTTTTATCATCGCTTTATTCTTATAACAATAGTTCTTACATGAAAAAAGACGGAGAAAAGGATCATCGTCGAACTTTTCCTGCATATATTCAATTGGCTTCGATTCCCAATTCAAGTAGAATTCTAATTCCTCTTTTGCTTCCTCCGACATTGATTCATCATCTGATTCAAGGTCAGTTTCCTCTTCTGATTCCGGTTCATCTTCTGATTCCACCTTTGCTTTCTCCGACATTGATTCATCTTCAGATTCATGTTCCGATTTCAGCCGCTTCCCCCTTTCGTCGCAGCTTTCCGGTGGTGGCCGGACCACACCAAACGAGAGACTATCCATCGAAACTAGTAAGGTCAGAAGGAGGAATGTACAACGGCTCACGAATCTCCACTTATAGGCCAATCCTCTTTACAAGTAAGGAAATTTTATCCCATACCCCTACAATTATACCCATACCCCTACATTGAAATTTTTTGGACCAAAATACCCTCGTATGAAAAATTATAACTTTTTTGGTTTGTTTACCGGAAGACTTTTTGGAAGTCTTCCGGTTCACATTTTTTTGGCTTGTTTACCGGAACACTTTTTGAAAGTCTTCCGGTACACATTTTTTTTGTTTACCGGAAGACTTTTTTGAAGTCTTCCGATTCATATATATATTTTTTTTAATTTTTAATTTTTTTTAATATTTAAATTACAAATATATTTATTCTATTTACTCTATTTTAGTTAATTAATATATTTATTCTATTTATTTTATTTATTCTATTTATTTATTTAATAATAATTATTCTACTAATTTGATTTTTAATTATAATTTCCTGTGCTATTATGCTTTTTTTTTTAAGTTACTTCATTCTTTTATAAAGTCTGCTTTAATTAACTTTAATTTTATTTTTTATATTTACAAAATTAATATTTATAAAATATATTATCATACTTGCATCACAATTTAATTTTATTGTTCATTTTCAATTGTTCTATACAATTAATAATTAATGTTAGATGCATAGTTTACAACTCAGGAATATTATTTAATAGAAATGTATCTATAATTAATAAATATGTGAGAATAATTTTAACTAAAAAATAGTTATGAGGTAAGTTATTTCACCGGATGAAAGTGACTAAAATAACTCAATTGATATTTATAATTGAATTAAATAAATTAGAGTTCAATAGTTGGTAATTTCATTTTTTAAATATTTTTCATAATATAAATAAATTATTTATGTTTATTAACAATTTTTCAATTTAAAATTTTAAAAAATTACTTCGTTTAATCACTTTTAATAATAATAAATTTTATTAACTTAACTGTCAAATAAAATTTTTTATTATGTAGATCAATGATATAGTACGTTATTATTTAAAAATTTCATAGAAATCAAATCTTATCAAAAAAATTTCTACCAGCTATAATATATTTAGTTTTTTTTAAAGTTACCGGTGAATATTTTTCTACAGCTACTATTATTTATTCAGAAATTTAGAAATTTTTTATTTTTGAATATTCTACTATATTGTGGTGATTTTAAATAAAATACATTATTGATTTATCACCTATATTGTTATCCGATTAAAAATATTGAGGAATGTAGAATTACTACCTATGTTTTAATTTAGTTGATTTTTTGATTTGCATGCTTGGAAAAAAATTTATTTTTCCAAATTCTACTATTATGACAATTTTAAATAAAACACATAATGGGTTTCTCATGAAAATTTAGAAAATAAGTCTATGAATTTCTAAACTTTCAAATTAATAATATTTTAATATTATTTAACATGTTTAATCAAATGAAAATATAAGCGATAAAACAATAAATTTCTAAACATTCAAATAAAAAATAATTTCATTATCTTCAATATTTTTAGTCAAATAAAAATATAGGTGATAAATCAATAAATTTTAAAATTTTTGAATAAGTAATAATTTTGTAATATTAAATATTTCATTTAAATAAGTAATAATAATTATTAAGTAAATAAATATAGTAAATAGAATAAAAAATTAAATTAGTGGAATAATTATTATTAAGTAAATAAATATAGTAAATTAATAAAAAATCAAATTAGTAGAATAATTATTATTAAATAAATAAATAAATAGAATAAATATATTAATTAACTAAAATAGAGTAAATAGAATAAATATATTTGTAATTTAAATATTAAAAAAAATTAAAAATTAAAAAAAATATATATATGAACCGGAAGACTTCCAAAAAGTCTTCCGGTAAACAAAAAAAAATGTGTACCGGAAGACTTCCAAAAAGTTTTCCGGTAAACAAGCCAAAAAAATGTGAACCGGAAGACTTCCAAAAAGTCTTCCGGTAAACAAACCAAAAAAGTTATAATTTTTCATACGAGGGTATTTTGGTCCAAAAAATTTCAATGTAGGGGTATGGGTATAATTGTAGGGGTATGAAGTAAAATTTCCTACAAGTAAACGAGAGATTTTTTGTTTGGGCTGGTTTTGCTATGTTTATGATCCGGCCCATGACAAATCCTAGATAGATAGGTTTCCCTGGAGCATTTAATTGTCAACCCCATAGTTGTATTTGACACCTCAAACTCAATGAGCAAATAAGATTAGCTTTGGAAATTTTTTTTCACTTTTTTTCAAAATTTACTAAACATTTGTGGAAATTTTAAATTCTCCAAGCGACACTCAAAATTTCATCATAACCGATTTATTTGAGCATCCCTAGTTTTTACCGTAAACTTCAAATTTTCAAATATTTTTAAATACATTTTTTCGAAAAATTACAGAATTTCCGGTACATTTCATATGCATTTCCCCCATAAATTTTCGATAGTTAAAAATTGGTTTTTCTCATAAATTTTAGAATTTATAGTGAAATTAGGCAAATTTTAGAATTTCCAAAATTTAACTATTTTTTTCCCGTTTTTGCAATGAAATACAAGGGAAAGGACGACAATATTGCAGGCACGACCACAAATAGAGCGGTTGTCCGTGATAGGGTTGCTAAGGCTAAGTCTTCCCAGATACGGGTTGGATGAGTGGTTCATACTAATTCATACTAGAAACGGTTGGCTGAGCATTTGCAATTTCACGCAACGCATAGCACCCAGCGAAATGATTATGAGGTTGTCCATGCTCAAGATATGGAAGTTTAGGATGTTCATGACCCAACGATCAAGACCGATGCGACATATGAAATGGCAGATGAGGTGGTCCAACGAGATGCCCTTATTGTAGATCAGGTGGTCTAGTCAGATATCGTTATTACTTATGAGGTGACTACCATAGATACAGTCTCATTTCTACTACTAACATAGAGGTTACAACTTTATCGACAGAGTCGGTTGTGCATACTGTCGCAACTGCGAAAAACACCCGGTGGAAAAAGAATAAAAGAGTCGCCTCTCAATGTTATTTATCCCGACGGGGGAAAATCATCGAAGCAAGACGATCCCCATCATCGCCCGCAAGCGGAACCACCCACAACCATCATCAGCAAACCGGAACAGTGAGATTTCACCATATTCGGGGACTGTTTTGTTTGTTTTCAGGTAAATACAAGAAGAGGATGAAAGAAGCCCAAAAGTAGTAATAAGAGGAATGCAGGCGGACAAGAAGGAAAAAAAAGCTTCAACAAATCATCAATGGGGATAGCCACCGCCGACGAGCAAGGAGAAGAAGAAGACTTAACACATGAAAACCCTAAATGGGTCTCAGCATACCATTTCTTTTTATTTCGCTTTTTTTCCTTTCTTTTATTTTATTATTATTATTGTAGTTTTAGAATTTAGCATACTTAAAATTGTAAAACCATCTTTTTTATAATTTTTAAGTTTATAACTTAGTTAATTAGGTTAATGATAGAATTAAAATTAAACTATTTTTTAATTAAAAAGATAAGATTAAAATTTAAATATATTTTAAATTTAAACCCTTTTTTAATGAAAAAAATTAAAGTTAAAACTTTTTAACTTAAAACTCAAGTCTTTTTCTAATTAATTTTTTTTTTAAATTAAAACCTATATTAATTAATTGAAACATTTTCTGCTAATTAAAACTTTTTTTAAAAAACCATTGTTTAAAATTAAAAATTTTAAAATTAAAAAACCGTCTTGTTAATAAAATCACTTTTTAAATAAAAAAACCATTTTGTTAATAAAAGCACTTTATAATTAAAAACTTTTTATTTTTTTTAAGTAAACTAGAAATCTTTTTTTAATTAAAACTTTCTTTAAAATTTAAATATTTGTAAATAAAGAGACGTTTTTTGAAAATAAGACTTTTGTTAATAAATTAAAATCCAACTTCTAAAACTTAACTTTTTAAATCAAAACCCTTTTTAACTCTCGCATAATACTGTCGCCTAACTGCAGACTTGAGCTCCGACTTTTCCCTATTAACTTCGTTTATATTCATTGTTTTCTAGGTTGTACAGTTTGTAATGCTTTCTTTTTCGTTTCATTTTATGGTTGTAATTTACGTGAGTATATCGTCGTTGTGCATGTCCTTTACTATTTTCGCACTTTTTCGTATTTTTATGCTGCCGTTTAATTATTTTGAATTATCTACCGTTAAACCTTCCGAAGGATTAAGTCTAATCGTTTGACCGCCGTGTCAATAGTCCTCACCTTTGACCATTTCAAAACCCTAATTGCCTAGGCGTCCCGCCGTGGACCGAATTGCCCTTTACCCTATCATTAGGTCAAGGAGTCGCCACACTCCATTTTAGGTTTCCCGTCGTGGAATACCTATCTTACCCCTTTAATTCAATTCAACTATTCAACGTAGGAATAGGAATCGCCGTACTCCACATAAGCGCTTCCTTAAGAATGCTTATTCTCCATTGAAACCTTGACCACCGTCAAGAAGTTTCTAACCTCTCTTTCGAGGGGAACTACGATTACTCTTATTCCATCCCCTACCTCGGATACGTAGGCACAAGATGCGAGTCTTGGCGAGTAAACTTAGGACTAACCCTTAGGTCTTTCTGTCACTTTCTAACCCTTAGCTTAGTATATACCCTCAAGCAGATAATCAAGCAAAATAGTAAACTTTAAACAAAAGGTTCCTGTAGAGTACTACAAAAGTTTAGGGTGTTAATACCTTCCCTAAGCTTAACCAACCCCTTACCTAGAGCTCTCCCCGCATTGTTTACGATGCAAAAATTAGGTTTTCCTTCCTTTGACCTATTCCTTCGGACAAATCAAAGACCAGTTGTGAAATAAAGATGTGATTCAAATTAATTAATAATTTGATATCCTATTCTCACCGTAATAGAAAATGGCGACTTCACTATGGACCCTCCTAACTTTTAAGGGTTACCCCTACTTTGTTTATTATATGTTGTTTA